CTATAGGTAAAAATCTTGTTGCATTGTATTTCAAAAGCAATTGGTCACTTTCTTATATCTATGAACAGACCATACCCACGATGCGACCTGTAGTACATGCGATGAGTTGATAGTAAAAATTGACGACGTTCATCACAATGCACTGCAGTCACACACAGTACTGCGAAGCTTGCAAGTTGAAAAAGAAGTACATTTAAAAAGAGCGGACACTTTTTATAAGCGTAAAAGAGCTGCTAGGCTTGCGGCTCAAAAAGACAAAACCAAGGAGGCTATTGTAATGGATTTTCAAAAAAATCTTCGTCTGCCGAATATTACAACTAACGACACGTATTATCGTTCTACATGTACAACATACATCTCCTTTTCACCTCTGAAGCTATTTTCTATACTTATACTAAACTTTCAGTTCTTTACTGCTATGGGATTACATTTTTAACCATCTGAATTTTGATGTCAAAAAGCTAACAATATTTTGTGATGTTGTGTTACATTATATTGTTCATTCTGTTAAAAAACTTAACATATTCAAAATGGTTTTTCCTGTTCGGGGACATTCTAGAATGCGATAGTAATATGGGTTTAGTGAAACAGAAGACGTATTTTGAACTGCCTCAAGAATGAAACGCAGTTTTAAGGGATTCTTAAACAAAACCAATTCTTGTCAAGGTCAGTCCATTTTTATCAGTTGGACCAAATTTCTAGCGGATATCTATATGCCTATCCTTCAAGGCAGGTCAAAGAATTAACTGTAACCGATCACCATCGTTTGATGATACATAGGGCAAGTTGTAATGGTCGAGAACTTGAAAAAGTTGTCATAAAACAAAGACTTTCACCACCTGAAAAGTGTTTTTTGCTTCCAACAAACTTTCTTTTTATACTTTTGAATTGACAATTTATATATTTTCTGTAAACTCGGTCAAAAAGTATTTTAGTTCAAATTAGCAAAAATTACATATATCAAAATCCTATTTTTGCTCACGACGTCATAGAGTAGTCTTCCTAAATAAAAATCACAATTAGCAAGAATTAAGTTTTTTCGAACCTCAACTTTTTTCCCCTGTACTCTTCAAGTACTGTTTATAAGCCACGCGATGTTGTACACGATTTATGTGTTAGTATCTTTATTTATATATTTACAATTACGCGAAAATTCGAGGATTCTTTTTCGATTTACGTGTGTCCGACGAGCGGTATTGACCAGGGGACCACCGACAGCGTGGTCCCCGGTAACTGGTAACGACATAACGAAGGGGGCCCGTCGTTGGTTCGTTTCAGTCGTGTCGGGTTTCATCTGCGGGCTGCTTTCGATAAGTAACCCGATATCCATAATTTGTTTGTGAAGGAGGCAGTGCGGCGTGTACGGGAACTGAAAACGCTGCCCAGGCCTTTTGTTTCTCTCGTTATACGGGGGAATTTTTCCGCCACACTCCAAAGGCAAAAGCAAATACGTTGCTTCCGGCGTCGCCCAATTCGCAGTAGAAAAGTAGAAGTTTATTGACTATTTTAAGAAATAAACTGGTCAAAAAAATACAACTAAAGGAAAGAACTGACAGGCACACAAACCAGTTATAGGCATTTGAGTCCCATGAAATTTTTCTTTGCAATTGACACGCCAGAATATTTTCTTTTTTATATTCATCGGATCTGGAAAGAACGAACAAAGCAAGAAAAAAAAAGCCGAGAAGAAGGCCAAAGTACCAGGTGGCCCATTAATAAAGAACGCCGGCCATATGTCAGGAACAGTTATTCCTACAACTTAGAAAAAATATTTTGGGGTAAATCGGCCAAGAAAAAAAGCTGGAAATTATTTTCAAGTTCATAAAATGACGGCTAGGGGGCGTAACCTCTACTGTAAAATCAAAAAGATCAAAAATCTATCAAACTTCTTCGTGATTTTTGCATTTGTTCATTTTAATCATTACTATTCTTTCCTTACAGGAGAACATGTCGGTGTACAATCGCTAAAAAAAATTTCCACGAAATCGATGGTACTCATATTTACCATGGTTCATTAATTGATGGATTAAAAAAAAAGTAGTATTGCAAGCCGAAATTATGTGATGAATACATGAAAAACCTTTTTATTCAATCTAGTATTTTTGGACTTCGATATTTAATATATGTAAACATTTCGGAAAAAAATAGAGTCGACTTTACAGGATGGCTCTAAAAATGGCTTTGTGAAGTATGCCAGTCTTATTTTTAAATCGGACTGCAAATCGGAGAACTACCACGATTCGATGAACAAGTGACTTAATGCGAAAGTGGACTTTTTTTAACCTATGAAGTTTTGTACCAACGAAAACTCTCATCTCTTATTGGAAAATGCTTTGGAAAAAAACTAAATTATGTTTTTTCTTTTCAGCTGTTATCGATATGCATGAATCAGACTCGGAGGAAGATATTTTTTCTGATGATCACTAGTTTTTGTTCCCCTTCATTGTTCTTTGAGTTTTTCAAAAATTGACATTGTATTCTCCCATACATAATATAATACGCCACTGAACTAACTCGCAAGCACTAACGTCCACAATAGTATAGTATATTATACAACAAGTGCGGCAAACGGCATTTGACTCACGAGTTTAAAGCGAGCGAAGCGCAGCGGAGCGAGTTTTTAATAAACGAGTGAGTTAAAAAGTTTACCATGCGGTAAAATCCCGTAAATGTCCGAAGTGGTTCGGAATCATGGGAAACGAAACTGACGTGGTAAATTGACGCTTCCCGCACGCTAGATCGATGGGTAATTAGGTATTTTACAGACGGGAGTAGAAAAAAACATTTACAAAATAGACTTTTAATTTAGTTTTATTTAACTGATCTGACTGGAGTGTACTACACACTACACTAAAGCGCGAACCTTTTGCTCAAAAGTATTTGAGTCACTACCATAAAACGACTAGAAAGTTTTAACATTAGTTGACGAATGAATGAATGAATGAATAACGAATTTCCGTTACTTCAACGATCAACGGTACATTCAGGACCGCACCACAGCAAATACCGTAAACTTCTAGTCCCTGACACTTTGCCTTTGACGGATCGAAGATGTCGCGAGATTTTTGAACAAATGGAGAATGTAGTTTTGACGATATATTCCCTAAGAACTTTTCGTATGTGGTCATAAATGTTTTTTCGAAAAATTAACTTCTGTCCATGCTTTAGTTACTACTTAAACAGCTTCGATTTTGTTAGGTATTCCCACGCCGTGGGTTCACGAGTCGTTATCGTTTTAAAGGACGATATTTGGCAAGTACTCGCGGCGACAAAGAGGTCCGAACTTGCCCGTAAACACTCGACGCATTCTTTTGGTGCCTTCTACGAAGCGTCTCGATCGTTAACGTGCAGTCAAGTGGTGCACATGTGTGTTCGCTAGGAGGGCCTATTGTGGTACCTCTCCCAGCGCATTGAACGTTTATTTACTCTCGTTATTGTCGGGCTTTATTTAAATTATAACAACATTGGGGACAAAACGAATAATCGCCGAGATATGACTTTTTGTTTTGTGTAAAATCGGAATCGGTTGCCAAATATACAGAATGGTGGGGAATTACTGGGAAATATTAATAAAATTAAAGGAAATGTTAGTAAATTTTAATAATATACTAGGAAATATTGAAACATATTGGGAAATACAGCATGAAGGACTGGGAAACATTAGTGAAATACTTGCAAATATTAAAGAAGTATGAAGTAATATGAGAAATATTAATGGAATGCTCGAAAATATTAGAAAATGTTCGGAAATATTAATAAAGAATAAAACGAAAATATGATTAATAGGGGGTGCGAGGAAATACTGACAAACATTAGTAAAATACATCGAATTATTGGAAAATATTAAGAAACACTTGAAAATATATAAAAAATATAACGACAATAATAACAAAATAGAACGAAAATACAACGAAACATTAGGAAATAATAATGGAAAACTAGGAAATACTGAAAAATATTAATAAAATGTGTTAAAACAAGTCAAAATATTGGGGACTAATTAAGAAATCCCGGACAATATTAACGAAATATAACAAAACATTAAGAGATATTGATGGGACATTGGAAAATACTGAAAAATATTTTAAAATATTAATGACGTACCAAGAAGTATTGGGAAATGTTTATAAAATACGTCGAAATATTGGAACATATGGGGAAATATTAAGAAATGCGGGAGAATATTAACGAAATATAACAAAACATTAGGAAATATTAACGAGACATTAGAAAATACTGAAAAATATTTTAAAATATTAATGACGTAGCAGGAAATAATGGGAATTGTTAATAAAATATGTCGAAATATTGGGAAATATGGGGAATTATTAAGAAATCCCGGACAATATCAACGAAATATAACAAAACATTAAGAAATATTAATGGGACATTAGAAAATACTGAAAAATATTTTAAAATATTAATGATGTGCCAGGAAATAATGTAATAATATTGGAGAATATGGGGAAATATTAAGGAATCCTGGAAGATATTAATAAAATATTGTCAAATATTGGGAAATGTTAATAAAATACGTCAAAATATTTTAAAATTTTGGACAATATTAATAAATACAGGATTAACAAAACGAAACATGAGGAAATATTAATGCCGTACTAGGAAATTCCGTAAAATTATAAATATGCCAAAATGTTAATGACGTACCAGGCAATGATGGAATACGTTAATAAAATACGTGGAAATATTTGAAAATATTAAGAAATCCAGGAAAATATTAATAAAATATGAGCAAATATTGGAAATTATTAATAACATATCAGGAAATACTGGGAATCGTTAATAAAAAAAATCAAAATATTCTAAAATTTTGGGCAATATTAAGAAATACAGGACAATATTAACAAAATACAACGAAAAATCGGTGTTAATGTAAAATGTTAATGAAAAATAACAAAATATTGCAAAACATTAATAAACTAGTAAAAAAAATCGTAAGAATACGATTAATATTAGCAATTTTCCGCCCAACCCCGAAATACCTGTCTTTATGTTCGGCTGCCCGATCTCTCTGTCTCCGATTCTTAAACCAGTTGGACACCTGCGTGGTGGTGAGTCCAGTCGCTTCCGCGAGTTCCCGCTTTTCCCTCGGGCTCGGATAGGGGTTGTGCGAGTACCAATCCCTCAGGACGCTCCTGGACTTTTCCTTGAAACAGTAACTCGTCTCTTCGCCGTCCCATATCGTCCTCGGCAGCGGAAATTTTCGTCTCACCCTATATTTGCCGACCGCACCGAGAGGTCTTCCTGCCAAAAAAGGGATGGTTTTGAAAATTTTTTTTTCGAAAAACGCGACTTTAAAGTCCGTTGGAATTTGAACAGTTAAAATTATATACTTATCCACCTCAATATACCAATATAAAAAAGTACACCTCCATCGAAATCATCAATATGAAAAAAAAAGAATATAATTACAATCGTTGCAGATCTTAAAGCAACAATTAATTTACAATGCCGATATTCAATTTTCAACTTAAAGAGTCTCTACTTTATGCCGTGCCGCACGCCCTGTGCATTCTTTTTTTCTCAATTTAAAGGTGGCCATATACGACATAACATACGATTAAAAGGCGGCCTTATGCGACCTGACAGATATTTTTTAAATATCTCTACTCTGTATAATAAGGTAAACACGAAAATTGTGGCTCTCGGTGCACTTTACGATACTGTTTAAAGCAACCAACAATTTATGCACGAAAACGTCGATTTTCGGTTTTTTTTTTACATAATCGAGAAAGTATCTGAAGCAAAGCTCCACGCTTTCTGGTCCCTGAATTTTTTTCAATAGATTGTTTCCGAGAAAACATTTTTTTCTGAAAACCGGAATAACCCAAAACAAAAAATTAAAAAAAAAACACGTGAAAGAGACCGCCAATTAAATCAGTTTTTTTCGAAATCATGAACGCACCCTGTACATTTTTGAAAGTTATCAGAAATAGAAGTTTATAGCATTGGATTTCACGGTCATTTTCGTTAAAACATTTTTTTGACCGCTTCAAATTTGGCACACCTATCGCGTTTCACGGCAATTTCCAAAAAGCAGAGGAATATAGAATAAACAAAGATAACCGCCGCGGCCATTTTTACACATCTTGAGCGTCCCGCGGAAGGCTAGAAAGAAATAAAATTTTAACCGTCCAGCTCATACAGTTCGGAAACTATGGGCCTAAAGGCCCAGGAACAGAGAACAGACAAAAACTTTTTTTCGACATTTCTGTACCAATGGCGGCAAATAATCGATTTTGCGAAAGTGGCAACCAGTAATATTCTTTTTAACGGTGCAAACATTGATGCAGAAGGGTTAAGGGTTCATAAAATCTTTAAATTTAAATAATTCGTTTTACACTTGAATAATTTCATTAATATTGCGACTTCTTGAACCATCAAGGTTTCAACGACAAACAAACAAAATAACGTAACACTGTAAAATCAGATTAAGGATTATGTCTACACTATCATCAAATTTGACCACCGCCACATCACCGTCGCACGATAGACAAAGGTGATCCAAAAAGTTTGAAAAATTCCAAATTTATACATATACAATATATATATTATATATATTTATATATATATACAAATTTATACAAATTTGAGAATACAGTTATGAACCAAATAGAAAATATTTTGATGAGGCCTATGCGTGGATTAGGTGCTTAGGATATTTTCTAAAAATTGGCAAGCATGTGGCACGGACAAGTTATTTATTAAAGCAGCGTGCATTTTGCAAAAATTATAAACCAAATTAAATGAAAAAATCATTTTCAGTTTTTACGTTATTTTAAACTGTTCGATTATTTGTTTACCTGTATACTTGGTACAAAATGCCAGTAACTATCTATATAAAGTTGATACACTACAGATTTGCCATTATCTCAGAATAAAGTATACAAAGTGATATTTTTCTACATTATCTATCTATCTATAAGAAATCCTCACATGACGTGATTTCCGACAAAAAACACTCACTCACCTCTAAGCCGTTCCGCTTCGATGTAGTGAGCTTTGAGCCACAGGGTTTGCAGTTTCGCGTGGTTATGCGGACTGAACTGATGCGTCTCCAGTATTCGGTACAACTCTTTAAAGTTACCCCTGTGGAACGCGACTATCGACTTGGCCTTTAGTACGGATTCGTTGTTGTGCAGTTTGTCACAGGCCGGCAGAGACCACAAAAACCTACCCAACCTTTCGACGTTGCCAGATTGCTGAAGGACCTGAAACAATATGTGAATAAATAAATAAATACTTTTTGATAATATAAAAGTCATCCTATTTTTTGAACGCGCCTCGTATATGGTAATTACCATATTTAATTAAATTGTTATTATTGTTATTAACTTAAATTTTATTTATTAATGATGGCGGATATTTATTATTTTTTTATAATTTAGAAATATTTAACAATTTTAACGTCTTGTGTTTGGCTTGGTCCGTGTTAATGTTACATCGGTGTAATTATTTCAATGAAATACTATTTATTGACAGTACGACCTTGTGGTAAAACTTTTGATGTACTATGATTGATGATTTGTCACCAGTTATGACATTTTGGAGCATATCAGGATCGTTTAACAGCTTCCACAGTTCTGTTGTTCAAAATTTTGCTACTACACGTTTCTTGCCCAATACTTCCAAAGAAAATGCATGACAGGAGCCAATAGAGACGCAGAAGTCTTTAGCCACTTCTCTAATGGTGCTCAAAGTTCACCACGTGACGTTGTCAACATTTCAACAAAATTCTTTGTTGGATTTTTTTTACTGCAGAAAATCGCAGAGCACACAAAACATTTCTAACGCTTCTGTCTCATAAAAAAAAGGAGACGTGCAAAACTGACTGAAACAGTGAACGTATGTTGAGAACATGCGTACCAACATAACAAAAAAAAAGAAATGCCTAGTCAGTTCACGTATTGCCGGTAAACAGGAATGAAGGATATAAATTAAAACATAAACTTATTTATTTTCTGAATTTAATGAAATCAGGAGAATGGAGATATAAAAACATAAAAAGAAATAAATAATTTCGCAAATTTTCTAAAATCTTAGTTTTTATTGCAATAGGGCTCTAGTTCTTAAGTCTTAATAATTTGGTTAGTATGTCATTTTTGAATAATTTTGCCACATTTTGCTACTCCGTTCGCACTTTTTATAAAATAGTTTTTTTTAGGTGATCTTGATAATTAAGCAACCAACAGCAATATTGTATATATAAATCCATAAGGTCCACTTGTCCGCTAGAGTTGAAGTTTGTTAAAATAATAGGTTTTACTGTCAGATTTGTATGAAGCGTTTTTTTGGCAAAGTTCCACATGTTTCAAGCTATTTCTCCATCGCACATCTTCCAACGTTATATTTTGTTTTTAAGTTCTGCATTATTTTATCCCTTTCGCCATGTCCAGCATGTGTGCTTCAAACACAGCATTAAATATAAATTAAAAATAAAAATAAAAATTAAACATACTTTCCTTCGTCATGTTTGTTCTTTTGAATAACAATTTTTTCTTCTGGCACTTCCAACAATATTTTTTATCTTAAACGGTACTAGTCCAAGTAAATCAAATACAGTATATATTCTTTGTTGAAGAAGATCTAAAAACGCCCATCGACATGGTGTAAAAGCAAGACATTATCAATATGAGTTTAAGGTGGACATTTGGTGATGTCTAATTTCTGATTCAACTGGATTAAAGTTCCTTCAGCAACATTTAAAGATGTGCCACTAGGTAGAGGATTGAAGGAAAAAAAAGAGAGCACATCATCCATTGAATATTCCTTCAGATTTTTCTAGCATAACTTGCGAGGTAAAAAAATGTGGATGTCTCTGTCATGGCGAAAACAGGTGAAATTTCTTCATAGTTTCTTGCGCACAGTACAAAAATGTATAGATCATTTTCATTTAATCGCGATTTGCATACCACGGGCGCGGAATGTTTCCTTATCAACGCGTGACTCAGAAACGAATCGGACTCGATAGACGATCGTCGTTCGGAAACGATTGCCAAATCATTGTTGAAATTTTTTCCGTCATACCTGCTGCTACAGGTATCGTAGGAAAGATAAAAATAATACGATACTAGAAAAATAGATGAGAAGTGGATTAATAAACATGTCGACGACACATGACAACAAGTGAAAATTTAAAAACAAATTGGGCGGCAAAGATGTGAAGAAGCTCGCATATCGATCTGGAGCTGATGAAGCAATTAGAGCATTGTTAGAGCAGTGCATCATAATACATGAAATTGCTACCTCCATAGAAGACCAGAAGCACATTCAAGGTGTGAAGTAGAAAAAATATTAACAAGCTTAGATCTTTTTAACTACCAAAAAAATAGATAGATGATATCTACATCCAGAATAGTCAATTTGGAGACAAACATGATAAATATTTATTTTAATATTTCCAGCTCCAGATGGGATAATTTTCTATAGATAATTCGCCAGTTTGGTTTGGAGCCTACTATTCGGGAACTCAGCAGAGTGGCCAGTGGCTGCGCTAACTGCTGCGATAACTGGATCATAGGACGCAGACTATTTATATTGAGTCTAAATTGAAATTTTCGAATAATAAAATAGAGTGTCGAAAGTAGTCTAGAAATAATTATGAACACTTAATAGGTATCTTCAATCAGCAATTACATTAAATTGTAATACCATTGGCACCAACCTTAATGATTTGGCATTTGCCATGGTGGAGAATATCGGGGAGCAGAGGTTGCAGTCTTTTCCTTTGATTAGAAAGACATTCAAACCTAAATCCAGTTCACTGGTTGAATGACGGTCTCAGAGTCATACGAGATAAATTATCAAAAATTCGTAGTAGAGCGGAAATTACAAATACTCCAGACGACTGTTCAATATATAAAAAATATAAAAAAGGAGTAACAAAATGAAATAAAAAATACAAGAAAACTGGCTTATACAGTCTTGGCAATTAATTAACACCGAGAGGTTAGCACAGCAACCCTCTTATCTCCCTATTACAAGCAGTTTTTTTGTAGTAATAAAATGTCAAGACTTCCACAGGGTTCCATTATGGGTCCATTATTATTTTTAGTTTATATTAATAACCTCTTTGGTCATGTGGACCCTGTGGCTGCGGTTAATTTTGCAGATCACTCTACATTTAAAACTCTTAAAAGGGAAGCGCAGTTGGCGAAAGAACATGCCAATATGTGGTTCAGAGAATCGCCTAAAATTGGACGAGGATAAAACTCACTCGTTAGTGTTTTCAACAAATGTAAATATTTCGGAAGGAACATCTGCGAAGTTGTTGAGTGTGGTCCTGGATGAGAGGATGACGGTAAAGAGTTTCTTTTTTTTTTTTGGAGCATTGTTTTTACTGTGTACACGAATGCAAACAGTATATAGTTGTATATATTTTTTTCACTTTTGTACTTAGACGTGCTGGAAACATACTACGTATTGTAATTCAGCCAAATAAAAAATATATCTATCTATCTTTCGACAGCCCGAGATGGCAAAAAGGAGAGTAAAAGAGTGAAAGTTGAGGCTCGTTTTGGTTAGAAACTCAAAAAAGTAAAAACAGTGATTTTTAGGAGTTTTAGTTGTGACTTGTAACATCGTATAGACTAGAGTCATGGAATACGCGCCTCTACTAACCAAAACTGTTTACGTCGAGATCGTACCCGATCGGATTTTCTCAGAAATACAGCGCGCGTTGCTTATCTTCGGCGGAATCATGGGCGTGCTTGCCAAAAAATCTTTCAACATCTACCAGAAGTGCATATGCGCCATAGAATACAATATCAACTAAAATTCTTGCATGTCATCAATTCTTCTAGCAACGAAAAATCCGAGAATCTATAGAAATCTATAAGAAACTAAACAATTTGAATTATAGTCAACGGTTTTAACGCCAAATTTAAATAAAGCTAATCAATTCTATTTAAAAAATTTTCATGTGAAAGGGCATACATAACTCAGAACCAATGTGGCAATTGGGCAATGTTATGCAAAAAACTTGCATCCCTCAAATCAATGATATCGAGATATTCGTAAATTCACTTTTTTCTAAATAAGAAAATGTGCAGCTAACGCATACAAAACTGAATACAAAAAACAGTAGCATGGCACAAGTATCATCTTACTTTACAGTAGAACAGGTTTTAAGTTATTTACTTTTTTTCAAAAATACTAAAAAATACTAGAAGACTACACGTTGAAATAAATCTACATCTTCAACTATACGTTTATCTGATTTTAATCTGCTATAAAAAGATCCATCATTTCGTTCTAAAGTTTTTCTAATGTGACAGGTGAACTAATAATGGTTGTATAGATTTTTTTTTAAGATTAAAAGTCAAGCACTCATATTCATCATTGCGTTTGGCTTTTTTAAAATCTTCTGTGTCGGAGCTTCATTCGCAAACTCTAAATGTTGCTATTTACAAAACTTCTGAATTCCTCCTGGGTCGGTTTTTGTTGAGTCGAACTTCCCCCAATCATACCATCGCGAAATTCAAATTTTATAACTCAGTATGTCAACCATGAAGGTTGAAAATTTCATGCTAAACTGAAGAGTGTGTATTTTTATTCCGTTCTTTCTTTACGGTTGGTAGCTATTTGGATAACGGGGCCCAATTGTACCCAGGAGACCAAATTACTGCAACATATTTATCATTAAGTATTTAAGCGAAGTATCGTTAACTTTAACATGACTTGTGAGTTTACTTTTATACTGACATGAGGAAGAAAGGATAATTTCGAATAGAATATTGCGAGTTACCAAAAAGTATTAGAACGGCAGACATTTTCATCAATAAGATCATCTACACCATCAAGCTGCAAGTTATTATTTTGAGACTCAAACTACGCGATTAATAAAAGCGCTGAATAACAATGGCCCCAGTATTGAGCCTTGAGGAACCTCCTGACATAGTGCTCGGTTCTTAACGACGTGAAATAAAGTTTACCGTGGAAATTTCTGAATTGATTATTATTTTCAGTTACTTTTAGACCGAAGACTATACGTGACACTTTTCTTTTCCCTGAATAAGAAACTCGAGTTATTTCGAACAATAATTTTGCAATATCGGGTTAAAATTGGCTCCCATCTCAAGTAGAAATATACGAAATATTTGAAAAGGTCAATTTTTTATGCATTTGCAGAGGAAAAAACATATTTTTTCATCGCATATTGCATTTCGAACATTTTTGTAATTTTTTTAATAATTTATTTTTTGATAGTATCGTATTGTAAAATTTTATTAGTAGTAATTAATTAAAGTATAGGCGGTTTAACGTTTTTAATAGTATAATTATTATCGTCCCTTTCTCCATCGAAAACTACCCTACCTCGCAGACACAGGCGACCTGTTCCTGCGTGAACCCGAAACTCTGTAGCGGACTGTGCCTGCCAGACGGTGGCGGCGAATACGGGGGCGTGGAGGCGGTTACGGCACCGGGAGCGGCCCCATAGGTCAGTCCAGTCGATAGCATAGCGCCGGGCCTACGAGGGGCGGGGGCGGCGTAACATCAGGCCATTACCGCCTCGCCGAAAATTGCTGGAATTACAAAAAAAGAACGCATTTTTGAACTGCAATCTTATATGTACATTTTTTAAATTTCCAAAAATTTCGAAAAAAAAAATCATTTTTAAACGTAGATTTTTTAAAAAGTTTCGCAAATTTCTATTAAAAAATACATAAATAATATTCAGTGACCAAAAAACCCATTGGTAAACTAAAATTTAATGCGTAGATTTTTTAAAGTTTCCAAATTAAAAAAAAAAACGCATTTTTAAACTGCAATTTAATATTTTAAAGTTTAAAAAATTTCGAAAAAATGCATTTTTAGACTGCAATTTAATACGTAGATTTTTTTAAAAGTATCAAAAATTTCTATTAAAAAATAGACAAATGACTGACTAAAAAAATGCATTGCTAAACTCCAATTTAAGGTTACGAAAATTTCTATAAAAAAAGACAAATGACATTCGTAGACTTAAAAGAAAACGAATTTTAAAAATGCAATTTAAAGGTACATTTTTTTTTAAGTTTCGAAAATTTCAAGAAAAATGCGTAAAAAGTTTCGAAAATTTCGTTTTAAAAATAGACAAATGACATTCACTTACAAAAAAAAAACGCATTTTTAAACTCCAATTTATTGCGTAGATTTTTTAAAATTTCAAATATTTCGAAAAAAAAAAGCTTTTGAAATACAATTTAATCCGCAGATATCAAACATTTCGCAAAAAAACGCCTTTTTAAACAGCAAATAATTACGTAGATTTTTTTTTAAAAAGTTTGGAAAATTTTATTAAAAAATAGACAAATGACATTCTCAAATAAACAATTTAGAAGTTTTTTCAAATATACAGGGTGAGTCAGTAATAGTTGGGAATAAAACTTATATTTAGGACACCTGCATTAATTTTATACTCAATCACCCAATGGTCCATACTGAGTGTTTTCGGATTTATGGCCATTTTTTCGTCAAGAATGCCCTCTGCTTGCCTTGTCGTTCAGTGGCAAGTTGAAAATTATCGAAAAACAACGGGGTGTCGCAACGGTTTCACAATAGCCGTCTAATTGGCAAACATGGCGTTATCTCGATTTGTTTTACCGAAATCGGTATAACAGCAACCGCAAACAATCGGGTTGCGTTTACAAAGATGACGGTGCTCGTTCATACGTATTTTTATTGGCGATAGCAATTGACGGGCTCCGGCCTCCTTGCTTCACAAACAGATGGGTCTGGATTAAGCAGGGAGGTCACCGGCGGTATACATTGAAGTCCAGTGTGGTGAGGTATAAAGAAATTATATATGAGATGTTCCCAGTTGATGTCCGACCATTCGACAGGAACCTGACCTTGAGTTTCTCAATTTTATTTGTTGAATTGATTTTGGAATCACCACGACTGAAAACTGACTTTTTCCAAAAATAGCATATACCTAATAGTGAAAACAGCCTTAAAATTAGCCAAATATCTATCTGGAATTGTAAGGACAGCCAATCTTTTAATTTTTCTAAAAAAATAATAGCTTATTATTATTTATTTAATTTTATTTTTTTTATTATTTAATTTTAATTAGATGCTACAGGGTGTTCAAAATAAACGAACATATTTCTCTATTTTCTCAAACGACATACCATATGTTATATTTTTTTTTTTGAAATATTTTACAAAGACCTTCAAGTTTAATTCAGTATGTCACATAGCTATTTTTATTATTTTGCGATTTATTTTACCTTTACAAAATTAATCAAAACTCACACGAAGTTGAAGCACAAAAATTAAAAACATCTTTGACCTCATAAGAAAACCAGATTAAGGTTTAAATTATTGGGAATTTTGTTAAAATATTTTATATTTGGGTTTTTAAGAAATAATTTTAAAATAAGTGTACATAGTTTTTTATGATAACATAAGTGCATTTAATTATTTAAAAAAAAAGTACATAAGAATTTTTAAAATCTGTAATTTTTGATTATTTTTATTTAATTGGATCAATTGCTTGTAATACAGCGTGCATGCTTAAAAAGTTGTAATAAAAAATCAGTTCTACTTAAATAGCTGATATTTTTGTTCCGTTTTAAAGGTATATTTATTTGAATATACAAAAATAGAGATGAGTATTACAAGGCAACACGAATATCTGCCTCAAGATAGAAGGTGTTTCCTCTCAAGAACAAGTTGATTAATAAAAATTACATTATACATTATAAGGAAATCAGGCAGAGACCTTTTAATCCCTTGTCGACCTGTTTAATGAGATAAGTGTTATTTTATTTATCTTTACGTGGAATTTTGATGAAGAAGCCAACAGGATGGTTGGCGAAACGTCAGCAAGTTCGACGCAACAAAAACCGACGCAGGAGGAATCCAGAAGTTTTGTAAATAGAAGAACGAACTAATTAAACAAAAAAAATGCGCTTCAAATTTATCGCCACAGTTGTTTTGGAGAAATTCGGAGTAAATCGAAATAATTTTTCTTTAATTTATTTCTTTAACGTTATTGTTATTTTTACAGCGATGACACATGTTTTTTGTAGCACCTTGTACATTATTATACTCAATATATTCAATGGATGTACCAGTCGATATGGTTATATACGTTCTTCAATTGACTTAAAAAATATATCGGCAACGTCATTAGAATGTACAATAATATGTATGAAACAAAAGTAAGATGGGTGTATAAATCAAAACGAACAAACAAATGGTATAAATAAATCAAGTTATAACCAAAAAAAAAATCAATTCAAAAATCAAAAAACAAAAGAATGCAACATGACACATATAAAAACACGAATTTAACGAGTCTTTTTAGTATTTAGTATACTTAATCATTTGAATTTGAAATAAATAATAAATTGTTAATAAACTGTAACTAACTGTTAATATCAAAATAATCAATTTTTTCACAACTGCTGCTCAACTCAAGACATCTCCTTCAGCAAACCCGGCAAAATTCTCGGAAGCAATGCCAGTAAGAAATGAATTGAGTTCAGATACGGAAATATCACCGAAGTGATCATCTTTTTCACAGCGATTTCTCTTACAATCTTCATCGCGTCCGCAATTATGGAAGTTACTTGCCGACGGCAACAAAACTCGGGTCTGGTTTATGTAGGAGAGTATAATCTTATTCAATCATACACAGAATAAACTAGGAATAGCTAGGAATATCTATACAGAATTTTATTCTAAATGTCTAAATCCAATTCTGAGGCTACCTATAATAGGATTTATGTTGTTTTGTATAGAATGTAAGAGTCCTCAATTTTTGTATGGCGTAAAACAGTACGACCAGGTTGTTCCGCCAAATTATTGCTTACGTACTTTTTTTTATTTTTTCTGTGATTATTCTGTAATTTCAGTTTTTGAACTTGATGAAGCTGCTTGACAATAACACTGTTATTGAGAATATTTTTTAAAAGATTGTTTTGTAGAATCCTCAATATTCTTTGCAGACAACAGCGAACAGTTTGGGATAAATCCGTGTTCTGAATCTGAGTGTATTATGGTGATGCGTTTTCCTTAATTTGAAGGTGCTTTCGTCTTACAGTGTATCGAATCATGTTTCATCGAGGTAAATTATGGATCTGACGTCTAATTTTAACTGCGTACTTCTGGGTAAGTCTTAAGCACATCATAAGAAAGTGGCGGCGAAAAGTAGCTTTTAAATAAATATTTTGGGTTACTTAAATCCAATGTTACAGGCATTATTTTTATATTGATTTCATCTTCTTTTTGCTTCCTTTTTAGTTCATCCAAGGTAGAAACACAGATTAACACATAAAGGAACCGCAAAATCCTATCGTTAACGCGTCCAGGAGCTTTCGAGTTGGGTTAGTTCGTTAAAAAACCTGAGAACCGTACTCTTGGTACATTTGGGCATAAAACTAGGCTTGTTTTGGGTTTTTTAGACGTCTTAGAAGTTTTTCCGGGTGTGTGGGCGGGTCGCAGAGACTCGTAGATCGAGTCGGGCAAGATAAACACCGCAAATTCCTACCTTGAAACGCTCAGGGGTCCCGAATTCCCTGACGAACGCGTTCGGGTATCCCTCGGAATCGGAGAAACACTCAGTCCAGAAATAGGCCAGAGCCCGTAACCGAAAACGACACTACCGCCACTTACGAGTCCTAGCGAGTAACTGGCAAAGGAGATTTGGGATTTTACTGTTCGGTGTGTCCTGGGCGTTTCTCTGGTCGCGAGGGGGCGTGCTCGCCGCTCCATCGGGCCAATGAGACGCGTTTCCGAAGTATCGCATCGTGGAAGTTGTGGTAAAGGTGTCGTTCGGTGTTTCGCTTTAATTACAACCGAGAGTTGTTACCTGGCAACTCGCGAGTTTGTTTATCGAAGACGGTGAGCGACGAAAATCGTGTTTTTATGGTAATAAGCGGTCGTAATCTCACGCGCGAAGAGTTAATTGGAACCCATTAAGTGGGGGGCTCCGGGGATCGACAAGAGTGCCCGTCAAATAACGTAGAAACAAAAACACTTGGAAATTGGAATCGAAAAACTTCGAAACTTAGATTGTTCATCATTTTCAGACCTGTAAACCGGACATGACCTCAAATAACTTCACATAACTTCATACGCAGCCCAAAACAAGTTTTTCTTCAGATAACAATTACTTACACTGGCTCGATTGTAACACTCTGAAGTTGGTAAATATTCATGGATATGTTTTGGGCAGCTTTTATCCACGTCCACCTGGAAAACGTGGCGGAGTCTGTATATTTTCCAATGAAATCGATGAAAGTGAAGTTGTAGAAGTCTCTCGGGTTTGCATAGAACGTGATGCACTTTTTACAAAACCTCTGGATTTCTGGATTGCTCTTCCGTCGGTTTTTGTTGTGTAGAACTTGCTATCATCCTGTCGGTTTCTTCAGAGCTTGACTGAAACTGGCTCGCATTTTATTTTGCACCAACTAATGAGTCTTAAGGCTCTTTAATGTTCTTAGAGCCTAGTTGATGTTTTTCGACCTGTCTCTCCAATATATCCTTTGCCGCATACGCAAGGAATGGTGTAATCTCCTGGCATCTCAAATGAAACTTTGTCTTTGAGGGATCGAAGATGATGGGCGCATTTTTGGTCAAGGAGTAAATCTGGTTTGGCGTTATACTTGATAAGGTTTAGTTCCAGATTCTCTGATTTTAATATATCGGAAATGATGCTGAGGGTTTCAGGAATAGGACCTTTAGTAAACAGAGATTCTACGTCAAAACTAACCAGAATATCTTTTTAATTGTTCAATGAAGTGAAAGGAATTAAGTACAGTTTTTCCTGTAAAGGGTTTTAATACGGAAGCAAGGTATGTTGTTAGAGAATATGTTGCAGAACCAATGGTGCTGGCAATAGGTCGAAAGGGTAATCCTGGAAGAAGCCTTAATAACAGATTTAAGTTTGCGTTCCATAGGATCTTTTTTAAGTTGACGATATGATCCGTCTGTAAGAATATCTTGAATCTTTTGATGAAATTCATTTGTGTTCATGACCACCGTAAAACTTCCTTGATCTGATTTTAGGATGTCGGGATTAGATTTTAGGGCAATGCGTTCCGGCATTGCAATATTAGATTTAGGAGGTTTCGATTTTTTCAGGATTTTTTCGGTTTCAGATCGAATTTTAATAACTGTATTTTAGTTTCAGTTTACAGATCCTGCCTAGCAGACTTCAACATGAATAGGTTTGCAAAACTACAAAATAATTTTGACAGGCGATTTTAATGTGGACTTTCTTATTGGATTCGTCCAACTTATCTGGTCTGCTCTACTCATTAAAACCTTTTGACTTATGTGTAACCGTGACGCACCACTCTAGTTCCTGTCTTTCATTCCCAGTAAAGTACAATTAAGAGGAACAAAAGGTACTATTCCTTCCTCGGTACCGTTCGTAACCTAGTTTTTTCTATGCTTATACCTAGCATTAACCAATTATCCCATTTACTATGCACGGTGTTCTCGAATAACATTAATAACAAAAAAAGATCCTACTTTTACCAATATCTACGAGAACCTCGAACCCGATGTTATTGAAATTGCTCTTAAATTAATTAAATAAAAAATAATCAAATTATAATTTACTGACCTTAAAAAAATTCTGTAAACCGGAACGGCTCAAGCTTTCCATTGAAGTGGTTAATTTGGAGGGCTAATCGGACTTTTTAAGAGGCTTCAAATTCCGTAGACTTACCCGCACAAATTTGAAATTTCAATCTTTTATTTTTTCAAAATCCGTTTAAATTACTGTGAAATTTTATGGAATTTTTTGTATTTTGGTTTAAAAAAAAATGATAATGTTCGTGGTTTTTATGGTAACATTATTTAATTTCTTTATATATTTATAAACAATTTGGAACCATTACGTGGAAGAAAATAAAATATCAAATTTTTTTGTGGATTGTCAAAATAAAATCAAGTTTATATTAATTTTAAAAAATATTTACCTAGTCGATTTAGTGGAGAATCGAAAAAACAATTTCAATAAGCCTTGCAGAAACTAAACATAACAAAAATAACCAAAACTTAGAACGATGTCCAGGACAGCAAAGGTAACTATAGCTTTACAAAATGTATCTTTCAGACGTTGTTTCTCTTCATGCTTTATGCATGCAGGATAGATATTTATCCAAATGTCCTATAATTAACATTTTAAACCAATCGAAAATAAATTAATGATCAGAGTTTTTATTTGCTACCTTTTACGGAGGAGGAGGATCTCTTGCATATTTTAAAAAATAAATTAAAAAACAAAAAGTCTTTTGGATTGCATACCAATTTTGCTTTTGATAATAGGTCCGCTAACATTCTTGGTGAATCTATCTTTTCTAAATGGCACATCCCCATCGTGTCTAAAAAGAACTAGGCTCGGATGTTTCTGTGTCGATTTTCCGGAACTTGTTGAAGCTCTGCTCGCTTCGGGTATAAAGGGTAAGCCTCTAGACTGGATCAGTAGTTTTCCAGAAGATCGTTCTCAATTTGTGTCCTTTAAGTTTTGTAACGGTAAGAGAACGGAAGGTGTATATTCAGCTAGTCAACGCATAGAGATGGGTTCCCCCCAAAGATCAGTTTTAGGCCCTGTGCTCTTGTATTGTATATTGAAAATGTTCTGTATACGATGGTGGTGTGGGAATGACGATGACCTCTCGGAGTCATTAGAGCCACGCGCTAAACGTTTAAAACATTGTCTACTTAAAAAACGATTAAAAATATGTTTCTTTCTAGGTCTATGTCTGTGTCTATTGTACATGTACATTGCCCTAAATGAGAATTTAAGCTATAAAAAATAAGCGATGAGTTACATTTCTAAAATTTTCCCCAGAAATGGGATGTTTCATTTACCAGGAGAGAGTGAATCAAAAGAATATAATGTAATACTTGACTAATAACGTCTTCTGTCGTTACTGCAACGCATGTGACAAATTTAGAGGAAAAAAAACCTACTGAGGATCTCACGCATTATTAAACGAGAATAAAGGACGAACATTAACGGTCTGTCATATAGGGAAGCGCAACCGTCCCATTGACAGTTATTATTGTCGACTACGTTTAAATATACAGGTCCCTCTCATAGCTTCGTCCACCGAACACAATGCTCTAGTTAGTAAGTCGTTAATTTTAAACGATCGGCGAGAGAAGTAGCGGAAATACTCCACAATCGAAAAAAAATCACAACCCAATTGTTCGGTATTATGTCTATATAAAGACCTCGAAGTCTTCTTCATTGATGGGACTTTTCCTTTGTCATTCGACGCGAAAAAATCATTTTCACGTGGCGCGAAATGACAAATTCCCGTGTCTACTATACGAGGTGTTTCAAAACGAAAATCTCGGTTCGTTTAGTGGATTTTCTTGTATATTCAGTGGCCGTTTTTAACAAACCAATTAGCATTGAGAACAATATTTCGAAGACCATTGACACTATTTACGTAACATGTGTCTATCTTGTCAATCGAGGGTTTACAATCAAAATTGTTATAAGCCCCAACGCCATAATTGTATAAACATCGCAAATACAAGAAATAGAGGCACATCTTGAACTGAAACGGTTTTGCTAGATACTGGAGGACCTAATAAACAATATTAACAGGTTATAGCATAAGGTACTTCATTAAAGAATTTAACTGCGTTAAAGATCTCTGGAACGCAATATCTTAAACAATGTCTCGATTATGAACATCGATTCCTCTGCAAAGTTTACCAAACAAGTACAACGAGGTCTTGTTGGAGTCTAGTAAAAAAACAAAAGTGGCTAACTAAACTTGAGCCAACCCGAATCAGAGAGGCGCTGTGAAATATTGTTATACTTTCTGAGATTGTAACTAGAATGAATACAAGCATATTGAATTCGTTGGAGTCTCTCCTTATCTCGATTAAGGGGATAAAAATAATACCATATCACAGAGTTTAAGTTTGACTTCTTTACTGAGAAAATGTTTATGAATATACAATGTCCTCAACTTATAGAAAATCGCAAGTCACCGTCAAACCATAACCCTAAATTGTTACACCCGTCTGAATAAGGAGAGATATTCTTATCACTTAGCGTAATTATAAGGTTGTTCGGAAAGTCATTTCGTTTTTTCCCGTCAGAGGACTTAATTACGTTTTTTCGAAACCAATTTCACACTTAAGCCGCATAACCATTATATGTCTTGAGAGTTGATATTGCAAGGCTTGTGTGAGAAAAAGTTCTATTAATTCTACGCAGTAGTTTTTGGTTGGTGCCCTTTTAAATATGGAGAGCAATAAGCAGCATTTTCGTCATATTTTACTTTTTTACTTCAGAAAAGGTAAAAATGCTCTCCAAGCGAGAAAAAAATTGTATGGAGAAGGCGTGTTAACAGTACGCCAGTGCCAGAACTGGTTTGCAAAATTTCGATCCGGCAATTTTGATGTCGAAGATGCACCACGGTCTGGAAGGCCGGTCGAAGCTGACGAAGATGCGATAAAGGCATTAGTTGATGCAAATCGGCGAATAACCACACTAGAGATCGGTGAGAGATTAAATTTGTCAAATTCGACTGTTTATGGCCATTTGAAAGGCATGGGCTTAACCTCGAAGCTCGATGTGTGGGTGCCCCATGTCCTTACGGAGCGAAATTTGTGTCGTCGCGTTGACGTGTGTGATTCGC